CAACGCTATTTTCAAGTTTCGAACAACTCGACTTTCAAGATCTACGTTTCTACATGTGCCGATGTTTCCATTAATCAACGTTATATTTAAGATCTGTACAAGAACTCAGCTCACAGATGTTCCCCATTTAAAAGCTATATTCAAATACAATTATGTAATATTTAATTATATACTTATACTTTTAAATATATTTAAATTATCAGTTAAAATGTGTGATATTTATTAAATGCACGGCAGTTAACAACACTTAATAAGTAATACAAGTGTGTGTTGAGAGTCATGATTGAAATAACACAACAGTAATTACAAGTCATGATTTAAGTAACGCATGACATAATATAGATCTTGGCCGCACTAGATATAGCAGATATAATGAGATTAACACACACTTCTTTTTTTTCACTCTGAAGTTGTTATTAATATTAGTAATTACAAGTCATGTTTAAAACAAAAACACATTAAAGGTTATTAGTAACTCCAACTACTTTTAATTATTCATAAAATATTCGAAGTTTCGTCATCTCATCATGATCATGTTTTCTGAAACGCCAAAGAATTGATTATTCCGTCTGGGGAATCGTTGACTAAAGACTGGTCGCATCAACACAAAGAGAAAGAAATCCATACTGCACTGTTTCAGATATATGTTAAGAACAAAATTCAATGAAATATAACTTTCTTAATTCTCGTATAGAAAAACGTGATAAATGGAATTGAAATAAAGGAATAGACAAGGAGTTTTTGGACGGTGAAAGAATGTACACAAGAAAATGATCGTTAAATTCAACGCCGTTCTCAGTATATTTAAGTGATTTAGAAGCATGTTGTGGGAAGGCTGATGACGAAAATCAAAATACATATCTGTATAATTGAAATATGCGGATGACGATTTAATGGTGGCGAGTTATCCAGAGGGGAAAAAATGAGAGTGAAAAGGGTCAACAAATAGAGAGTTAGAAAGGTATAAATGCCTGAGATATTGGTTTAACAACAGGAATACGACAATGGAACAGATATATATATATATACAAACTGAATAACTGTCATATGGCTGGAAATAATGATTAATTTTCCTTCTCAAAATTATATTTAATTAACTGTTTTATGAACATGTTTTCTAAAAACTAATTATAATATAGTAAATTAAAACTAGCAAACTGAAGTCAACTTATGTTGAAATACAATTTTAAAACGTCTGCCTTCTAGGCGGTGGCCTCTTAGCTAGTGTGCTTAGTCCGTGAATCCAAGTGTTTGTTGTTCACGCCAAAAAAAAAAACGCGTTCCTCGCTTTGGAGCCATAGTGACGGTCAAATCTCACTATTGAATTAAAGTATCTCAAGAGTTAGCGATGGGCGCTGTTTACCAGCTGCCTTCTCTATTTTGTCGGTTTAAAATCGGGCACGACTGTGCACAGATAGCCTTTTGTGTAGCTTTGTGTAAAGAGTTTGAAACAAACAAAGCCTATATTGTGGTACTGACTAAATTGTTTGCTCTTACATCGGAGATGAACACACTGTTTAACATCGACTACTGCGAAGATGAACACACTGTTTAACATCGACTATTGTGGAGATGTACACATGTTTAACATCGACTATTGCGGAGATGAATACACTGTTTAACATCGACTATTGCGGAGATGAACACACTGTTTAACATCGACTATTGCGGAGATGTACACACTGTTTAACATCGACTATTGCGGAGATGAACACACTGTTTAACATCGACTATTGCGGAGATGAACACACTGTTTAACATCGACTATTGCGGGATGGTATTATTTATTCATTTATAGTAATAATTAGAATAATTTATGCACTAATAAACGATGAAACATAGTCTTTCAAATACAAATCAAAACAAAATCCGTTTTTTTAATTTCTTTATTTTTCGTAATGAAATATTGTAAATGTTTTTTGTTGTTTTATGATGTTTCTGATTGAATGTTTTTGTAGGTAATGTATCAAACTCAGTTTTCAACAGAAAAGGTTCCTTCAGTTATGAAACCCAGAAAATTTTCCAAACCAGAAGTAGGTATATAGGTTGCTTTTACTACATAAAGTAGTATTAATGAAATAGGTCTAGCTGGTTTTCTACGTTGAAATAAAAACATTAAGTTAAAAGGAATTTGTTTCTATTTGTTTCTATGTTTTTGTGTTGATGTGAAGACTGCATTATTTTGCATAGTTAATGAGAAAATTTTAGATGTAGGCTTATCCTTCCTATTGAGGTAGTCGTTTAGTAGACAGCCAATTATGTTGCTTCAAAAACAGTAAAATCATTATTTCATAGCTTCTTTTACGCTAATGCAGAAATACAATTACAGTAATAATGCTCTAATACGACCTTGTTCTTATAAAAACGGCTTGCTTTTGCTCTGGTGACAAGTACAATTCATAGTAAATTCTGTCATAGACCTTCTTCTGGATTTCGGGGTAAGTTAGTATAATATTTCTAGTTTTACTAAAATGAAAACTGTGTATGAAATTTGTAACTTGTTTGAATAACAGTAATAAAATAGTTTGAGTGAAAATGTTTTTTTTAAATTGTTACATCAAGGTCATTTTTACATTGAAAACGACCAATGGCGAATACCTGAAGAAACTTGAACAACAAAATGTTGTACAATAATACATTTTCTCAATTGTAATTGATTGTTTTCGATACGGTAATAGAGAAGGCTTCCTTCTGTTATTAATGTAATACTAATAATGTGTAGAGGTACCCTCGCTCTCGCTGCTTGTTAACTATAAAATACTGTATATGTAGTCCTGTTTTTCTTTCTCTGGTTACAACAATATACGAGCACGTTTGTCTGTTGCTCTGATAAACAGAATGATGTAAGATTGCTTTCCTAAGTTAAGTAACGCCTATAATGTTTGTCTGTGGGTCATATATACATGTTATTTATTTCACCATGAAATGACTTCTTTGCTCAGAAACACACTAAAGTGAGTGTGGAGGATTGGGTACATTATATTAAAACGATTTTAATATGCAAATCAGTAAGTCATGTGACAACCACAGCGGAAATATAGTCGCGGGAATGGCAGGTATCAGAACTATATTTTGACATTGTTTGACGTTTCGTAAGTAGTAGTGTGATGCTACTGGAAGTTGAATGCTTATGAAAAGGATAAGCGTAACAGCCCTTTTCAATGCTCAATATTTATGCAATCAGATTATAACGATGCATTGAAATACTTGTACTTAATGGCATTGGAAAACAAAAGAATGTGAATCAACTTAAGGCAGCAGGACCATTAAAAAAGAAACATATAACAAGTCGCATCCCACGTAGATAAGCAAAATGCGACATCTTATAATAGGTAAGATTAAACGAACACCAAGATCGGTGGCAAACTCGTCCCTAGGCAACAGTATGCAATATAATAAGTATCTCTGTCTGAAAACGAGGTCAACAGGTATGGGCTCACCAAGATAGGGCTCACAGCCATGTTTCCCATTCAACCGTTGTATATTTTAAGCACTTAGAAAATGAAATAGGCATTCATACTATCTCATACGAAGTCATACCGATCAAGTCGCCGGACGCAACGCCTATGTATTTTTGTGCGATCGGACTGTTGAAACGAGCGCTGAGAAACCATTATCCTCGTACATTAGATGGATTATGGAAAGTATGGATGGAGGAGTGGTATGCTATGAACATATGACAGCCTTAAGATGGGGTTTTTTTGCAATAGAATATACAGTGTGGGGTTATTATTAAGATGCACCTGATGGACCAGATAGAGTACGAGTGAAAGTGGCAACATGAACTGATGACGAGGTGAGGTTCCACAATCGTTGTATTATATGTACTAAACCCCCTGTATGAAAGACACATTTTACAATAGTAACTCTGTAAAACGATGTTTGGTTTCTTCTAGGACGTTGTGTTCACGAAAATCTTTGAACTATGGCATGGTGAAGAGGAGATCCGGACGCCTGGGTAAATTTCTTTGACGTTATGCTTTTTTCTGGTTGACCATATATACCAAAAGAAAAACAAACGAATGTGGATTGATCACTTGTTTTTTTTAAGAATTAGAAGTGTTCGTAAATTTTTTTCTAATCTGAAGAAAAATAAGAAAATTGCGTTTCCACGTGTACTTAAATAATAAAATTGGTTTTTAAGTTTACAGCAAGCGAATTTACCGTTACTATAGCAACGACAGTTGCTTTGAAAGCCTTTTTTTACGTCATATCAGTATGCTTTTTTGTGCAATAAGATCTGTACGTGTCTATCCTATCTCAGTTACTCAGGTTAACATTATAATAAAAAACCTGACTTAACTCCTTTCTTTAGTGGAGTTATTTGAGAACCTTTAAATTTAAAAATATTAGTTTTTTTTTCTAACATGGGCTGTTTCATGCATGTAATTATAATTAACTTTTTTGGCATACACTTTCATTATAATTACTTTGATTAGTTTTTAAGAGCGATTGTTAATCAATAAATCCAATTAGCCAGATATATATATATACTAACTACATAAGCGTTTAATATTAGTCGAATCAACCGGTATCGTCTTTAACGTCCTTAAATCAGCTGTCTGTGGTTGCCAGTTTTTATTTATCATTCAATATATGTTATCATCACAGCTTTTGCAGTAACAATAGGTGTCGTTGCAAGATTTTACGACGTTGGAGGAGTGAAGCATGCATGAAAATCAATGTATCACCAGTTTGTTAAAACGTGAGTGTAAAAAGTTAAACTAAAGAATCAGCTGTTGGAACTACCAAAAGTCTGCCTATATAAGGGTGAATTATACACATTGCGTTACAACGGTATAATGTCAAAGTTCCTAACAAATTAATAACTATTTTAAACAGAACTACGACGGTAAATTTCCTTTGATCTCGTGTAAATTGTTTACTGTTTATTAGCTTGCTAAAAGGCCTAATACATGGTAGAAGATTCTGCGTTCGAAAAACTTAAAAACACCATCTAAACTAGTATTTGTAGACGAACAATATAACTAATTAACAACATACCTCCACCTATCGGTTAAACAGGCAACATTTGAATTTGAAGAAATAATCTTTCCGGCATAAAAACGCGCTCTGCACTTTGGCGTCGTGGGTGCGGTGTTATAGTGACAGTCAAATCCTAATATTCAGTCAGGTTTAAGAAGCTCAAAATTTCCAGTGAGTACTGTTGATTAGCTACCTTCTTTCTAGTTTAACAGTTCAAAAATAGTTTGTGTAGCTTTGAGTGGAAACTGTGAATCAAACAAACAAACAAAAATAATTATATATATATACATATATGTGTGTGTGTGTGTGTGTATATATTGTGTGT